GTAAGCAGTTCGGCTGTGCACACATAGAGTGCATGAGTCAGAAGAACAAGTAGTTGTGATTAATTCCCACTCTCTTTTTTATTGTATAAAGCAAAATGCATGAAACAGAATAGCAGAGTGGAATTCTGTATAGTCGTCACTACTATTCAGTACTTAATCATGATTCTGCCAAATTTACATCATCTATCCTTTATCATTAGTTTTTAAAGTCACATTACAGTACTTGTGTATACTTTAATACACATCTCCACATTATGTAGGTTTGTATATCATACTGCTGTTATTTAACATGAAAATGTAATACTGTTTCCTTGGCATTATTTAGTAACTAATCTGTAGTCAGTTTTTCCAGTTGTTTTGTTGAAATCTGGTACTAACTAAGCAAGGTCCTCACAGCACATTTGGATTTTTTCTGTCTAATATAGGCAGTCTTTACCAGGTTTGAGTTTTTACCACATAACAGTAGATTGTTGGAGAAATTGTCTTAGTATCCTGTGGAATATCCCATTTCTCAGTTTACCTGTTTTTTTCCTTGTGATGTCATTTAATATGTCCTTTCTCCTTTTATTTACTATAAATGGAAATTTTCTCTAGAGACTTGATTAGATTCCATTGCTCTTGTTTTGAAATTTCATAATTGGTGCTGTAGACACATCTGACTTCTCATCAGGAGGTGTACAATGTCTGCTGTCCTACTTTTTAGTGATATTAAAATTAATCAGTCAGTTTAGAGGTTATAAATGGTGATAACATGGTCTCTTCATTTTCAAGTGCTCCATTTATCTGCAGATGCATGTATCTGTTGATGATTGTCCTTTAATAAATTATTTCATTAGAGGTTGCAAAGTAGTCATTTTCTAATTCTCTTATCTCTTCCACATTTATTAGCTGGAATTTTTCAGTAAAAGAACTTTTTATCAACTAAGCTAATTGATCCCAAAATAAAATTTGTGTAGGAAAGAGAGAATAAATATTTAATTCTCCATTTATTACCAAACACTGTGAAGAATTGGTGTCCTGTAAAGTCCAATGGGACAGTTATTTTTTTTAGGATCTTATGGATTTTAGATACTCACTATGATTTAATCAGTAGCATATATTATCTTTTAAGGCTCACATTGTTCCATCTTTATATATGTATTTCCTACCCTAGATCTAGAATCAGCCATTTACTTAAATAGTCTTGTGAGTGCTAGGTAAAATCATTGCTTTTAGACCTTTCTATTGGCTTTTAACCCTGGTTTGTTAAATTTTTCAGGGAGACAGACAGGTTGCTTGGTGTTTTATATTTCTTTGGCAGTAAACAAGAACTGACCCCCCCCATACGTTTACCCATAGATTGTATCTATGGCAAGGGATTTTTGCAGGATCTGAGTTTATTTCTGCAGTTATTTCAGTTGGGAAATGGTTGCCAGGAAATACTAATTTCGCAGCTTGCTGATGTTTTATTTGCTTTTTACCCCCCCTACTTTTTCTAGTAAGGGTATCTATACTTTTCTCCCTGCCTTTTATTTTGGTATTTTTAAGTAGGAGCCATTTTCAAACCTTGAGAGCATTTCTGTTTTTATTCGGTAAAATGCAGAATATAAGTTTAGAACACATAAACCCTGGTTCCTTCCTCACATTAGACATGAACCTAAGCCTAATAAATTATCAGATAAGGGAAGAAGGGATATAATGATTTTTTTATTTACTCAGATACTAATTCAACAATTGTAACATGTTTAATTTTATTTAGATTAGGATTAAATTTGAAAGGACTTTGGGGATTCCTATTTATTTTGGGTTTTTTTTTGCTTTGTGTTTTTCTGTTCTGTATGCTCTTTGCTTTATTTGCTAATTCTTTCTGCTTTTTATTTGTTACATTAAAACCTTAGTTCCTAGAGGGAAAGAATAGTCTTGTTTAATATGCCTCTGTTGTCACAACATATTGCTGGTTTTGTGTGTATGCTGATGATGATTCTTGGGAAATGGAGGTACCTTAATGTCTCCGGCCTGAGACATGAATCATCTAAAAGATAAACAAAAATATTTTATGCAGCATGAGCAAAATTGACAAAAAAACCTTAAGCTCAGAAGACAGAGTCCTAAATCTTATATGTTAACAACCTGTATTAAATGCTGGCATTGTGTGTGAGCCTGGTTATGCAGAATCTTGGGATCAGTTTTCATCAAGCACATCTTCTATAAGTGGCGTTAAAAAGACCCTCTTGGGATAGAATACTTTTTTAGAGAGAAAAGCTTCTATTTAAGGCAATAACACTATCAGCTTGTATGGGGGAAAATCCCATTTAAAGATAATTGTTGTTTAAGTCAAATACAGCTATTTGTGCCCTCTCACGCACACTCCATTTCTTCCACAATATACTTCAATGAGTGCATGTACACTTACATGCAAAGAAGGAGAGCTATGAACCAGGAATTTAATTTTTATGAAGTCAAGGTAGCAGAGCCTCTTCTCTCACACCCACCCCCATATTCATATACCTGTCTTTCCTCAAAACATTGAAACATTGTCTGATTTCATTTCCCTGAAACTAACCTGTCCTATTTATTCTTTAGGCTATTGCAGCAAAAGTTGGCATGGACAGTACTACAGTGAATTACTTTGCCTTATTTGAAGTGATCAATCATTCCTTTGGTAAGTGCTAGTAGCTAATAATAGATTTTTGTTCCAGGGTATTTTATTCTAGTGCTGTTAACTGAAGCTCCTGGAAGCTACAAGACTGAAACTGTTTGCTGGAGAAGAGCTTGAAGACCGAGGAAATCCCCTCATTAGGTCTGTCTCCAGCAGACCAGATAAATCCTGCTAAACACATGTTATTAAAATATCTGATCACTGTTTTTATAAGTAACACTTAGTCATGAAGTTCTTTTAAAGAAAAATAAAAGTCCATTTATTCCAGTGAAATAGTTAAAGTGATTTTCCTGTTGTTTGCTTAAAAGGCACAGCTGATTTAATAAGGATTTTTAAAAAACAACAGCTTTTTGTTTCCAGGAATTAGAAAGAGCTATCTTCTTAAAAGCTTAAACTTTAGTACATATCTTCTATATGAATAAATTTCCACTTCTTAGAATATTTTCCTGCCCAATGACAGGAAGTTTCTGTTATGTTTTATCTTATAAATGCTAGAGATGGTGGTCACATTGGTTGCACAAAGGGGAGGAAGTCTGAGAACTTGGCTCTGAATGACAGATTTCTATCACTTCCTGGACCATTTACAGCCTCCAGAACCTGCTGGAAGGTCTGATATGAGTCAGTTCCGACTTGACAACAATGAGTTGAGTTGATGTGTCTCTTCCACAACACATTTACCCTCAGGCTAAAGAAAGAAATTGCTTGAATAGTGTTGGATAACAGACCTTTCTTATCCCTGAAAGAAGAAAAGAGGAATTCGGTAGCTCTAGATCCCCTTGAAGTCCCAGGTTGAGGTAGATCAATTCTGATTTCCTCTCCTTCAGCCATTGTTCCTGTTATTCTTTTTTTTCCTGATTCTCTACCAAATGTACTGCTGTCCTGTTGATTTTGACTGAGCGACCTTCTACAGGTTTTCTGAGGCTGTAAATGTTTATTGAGGATTATGCTTTCTCATGCAACTAGTGGGGTTTAAACCACTGACTGATTAACTGTAACCCACTCTGCTACCAGGGCTCCTCACTGATACTCTAGAGCCTAACTGAAAGGAAAGAAAAGTGGATGCCTACCCTTGATGGGCCAGTGTCCGGGATGAATTAACACATCCTAGGGTATTAAGGCTCTGACCTTTCGGAATTAGATGGCTAGGCTTTTCTTCTGAGGCACCTCTGGGTAGATTAGTTAGTAGTAGAGCACTTAATTGTTTGTGCTACTCAAGGACTACAACATCTGACCAAAAAACCAAACCAGCTGTCATCACTGAGTTGGTTCTGGCTCACGGTGACCCTATAAGGCAGAGTGGAACTGCCTTATAGAGCTTCAGGTCTGTAAATCCATGGAAACAGACTGTCCCATCCTTCTCCTTCCAGGCATCTCATAAATTAAAACCTCAGGACCTTTGAGTTAGCAACCATACTTTATGCCTCTATGCTACCAGGGATCCTTACAGTCTGCCTAACTAAACTGATATAAATGATACTACAGAGGATTACGGGGGAACCAGGACACTTGAATTCTAATCTTACCTGTATTTTCTAGGCTTTACTTTAACTTTCTATAAAATAGGAAATATTAAATCTGCCCTTTTTAGTATTACAAAGTAAACATGAAGAGATGAAAAACTCTGAGCCTTTCCAATAAAAGAAATTTAAAAGTGGAGGCTTTGTTCTTACCCTGCTGAAAAACCCAAGATTTTTGCAGTTGGAGAATGTTGGGAAAGGATAACAAGAACATTTCTATCTTAATAATAGAATTAATTCTCTGAGAATTGTCACATGAGAAATTCTAGATGCACTGGATGAGTAAGAAAGGGAGGCTTACTTTAAGGACATTTCAGTGGATATTAGCTGTATTTTACCTAATAGCCTATATTTTCCTGGAATTTGGATTTGATAGCCTCTAAGATATTTTCCTGGAATTTGGAATTAATGCTATCTACAAAGCTCGTCTTACCTGAAGGTCCTGCCACTCGGGTGGCGCAAGGCTCACCTGGGCAAAGTCGTAGTTAGAGGGGGTTAGATTTGGTGAGACAAATTGTTAGTTTTCTTCTCTTGGTAGAACCTCTTGGTTTGATTAATGATAACCTGTCTTTCTTGATCTGCCACACACAGTTTGTACTAGGGAAATTCCTTTCTTTAGAAACTTTTTCACTTTATTTGTTTTGTCTCCTCATCAGTACGTAAGCTGGCACCTAATGAGTTTCCTCACAAACTCTACGTCCAGAATTACACATCAGCTGTGCCTGGCACCTGCCTGACTGTTCGGAAGTGGCTTTTTACAACAGAAGAAGAAATTCTGTTAAATGACAATGACCTTGCTGTTACCTACTTCTTTCATCAGGTGAGTGAATTAATCTTCTGTATGCATGCAGTGGGTGATTTGTCAGTTCTGTGAACACTTACATGATGAGCTGCAGTGCCTCTTGGTCTTAGTTATACTTGGAAAATACTCTCCCATTTCACAAAAGGAAAGTAAGTTTATAAAATGAAGATGTCTGGAGTTTAACATATTTTTTTATTCTTTCTTTAAAATTAAGTGAGTATTCTAAGAGAGCTGCAAAGCAAAACAATTATGAAATATCATCTCACCCCAGTAAGAATCGCAAAATTTAACAGAGCAGCAAACATCAAATGCTGGCGAGGTTATGGAGAACCCTTATTCACTGTTGGTGGGAATGTAAAATGGTGTAACCACTATGGAAGGGTGAATGGCACTTTCTCAAAAAGTTGTAAACGGTGGAGGCTCTTCTAGCCCTCGTCGTCTTTGGACACGTCTGTCGGCTCTGGCCCTTTCAGCACCGTCTCCTCACTCCGACTCGCTTCGTTCCTCGGCGCCATGACGACCCCAACAGCAGGAACAACTCCCGGGTTTTGCGGCCTCCCGGTTGTGGATCTAATTTCTCTTTAGGTTTCGATGAACCAGCAGAACAACCTGTGAGAAGGAACAAGATGGCCTCAAACATCTTTGGGACATCTGAAGAAAATCCCTCTTCGTGGGCCAAGTCCACAGGTGCCAAGTCTAGCAATGGTGACAGGGAAGATTCTGAGTCATCTTTGACCCAGACAAGAAACTCTTCTGAAGCAAACACTGGAGACTTCTTCGATCTGAAGGGAGAAGGTGTGATTCATGAAAACATGGACACAGACCTGCCAGCCAGCCTGGGACAGAGTGAGGAGAAGCCCGTGCCTGCCGCCCCTGTGCCCAGCCCAGTCACGCCAGCCCCCGTGCCATCCAGGAGAAACTCACCGGGCGGCAAGTCCAGCCTGGTCCTGGGTGAACTCTGCCTGTCTTCTGCTGTCCTTCTGTCTGTCTGTCTTCTCCATGCTTGTGAACTGCACAACTTGAGCCTGACTGTACATCTTTTGGATTTGTTTCATTAAAAAAGAAGCGCTTTATGTACTGCTGTCTTTTTAATTTTATTTTTGTTTTGTTTTGACGACTTCTTTTTAAGGAACTGGTTTCTTCTCTGTCCTGACTCCTGGGTCTGTTGGCCATGGCATGAGTGTTTTTCTAGCAGTAGATTTGAGGGAAAGCTTTGTGACATTTAGTACTGTGTTTCTGAGAACAAATAACTTAGTTCCAAACGTGTTAGAGGATCTTTTGTACTGCGGTTTTTTTTAAACCCTTTCTTGTCAGCTTTACTTGGGTTTACCAAGCCTTGACTATGTAGACCGTGCACAGTCCGCAGGCACCTCTCCTCCCCCTCTGTGTTCCCTAACTTCCCGCTGTCCTTTCATAGAAAGCATCTCCTGTTCCACTGTGCCATACTGCACAGTAAGGAGGCCCGGCCTCATGCCTTGCTGCCTGCAAAGCAAAGAAACTGCCTTTTCTTTTTTAATTTTAAGAAATATGCCAGGTCTTCGCACTACTGACTGACGAGCAAAGCCTGCTGCCCTCGTAGAGGAAGGCTTGAGGTGCACAATCAGAATGGGAAGGAAGCTGCTGTGGCGGACGGGGACAGTGGCTCACACAGCAGAGGGTCTTCTCGATGCATGGGTGCTGCGGGGGCATTTTTCTCATAACTTGATGCTGTGTGCATGATGCTGGTGCTTGACCATGAGCCGAAAGTCTCGTCTTGACAATGTATGTTGTACTTCACAATCCTGGACTGTCCTCCAAGTAAACAGTATGCACGTTTTGGAAAAAAAAAAGTTGTAAACAGAAATACCATTTGACCCAGCAGTTCCACTGCTGGGAATATACCCTAAAGAAACTGCCACCCAAGCAGATGTATGCACACCTATGGTCATTACTGCTTTGTTCACAATAGCAAAGGGTTGGAAACAACCGAAGTGCCCATCAACAAACAAATGGATAGCGAAGCTCTGGTATGCTGCAGTGAAAAACTTTTAAAGAATTCATGAAATATTCAAAATGGATAACCCTGGAGGACATTATGTTGAGTGAAATATCTCAGTTACAAAGAGACAGATACTGCATAGCGCCACTGTTGTAAAACGGGACTAAAATCGGGGTTGAGGGGAAACTGAGAAAGAGGGAACAAATAATGTATACTGCACTGAAACAGATGAGGGAGAGAACTGTTTAAAAAGCAGTATATGATTAGATATTATTATCATGACACAGGAGTCTAGAATGAAGGCTGCATTGTGGAGTGTATTTGGGAGGAAGGATTGTATAACAAAGTTTTTTTTTCTTTTACCTTTCAAAGAGAAAAGCAAATGGGAGGGGGGATGGACAGGGAGAAAAATGCAATAATGAATGAATAGGATTCCAAAGTCTCTGTAAATGTTCATTAAAATTAATAAAAAAAATTAAGTGAGCATTATGGCTTCTGTAGTTAAATGCATAGAATTTGGAATAAATAAACCTCTACAGAGTTTGTTAAGAAAAATTGTCATTGGCGCCCTTTACTTTTTTTTATAATTTTTTTATTATGATTGTAACAGAAGTTTACAGAAAACTTGGATTCCCGTTCCTTCATTGTTGCATGTTTTCCTCCCTACTCCTCCCCAAGTTCACTTTTCTCTTTTAAAAAATTCATTCATTGTTGCACAGTTTCCTCCCTCTCCCCCACCCCAGTCCACATCACTATACTCCTCTCACTCTGGACTGTTGTCGTGCAAATAATGCCCAATAATATATTCCTTTTAAACAATTCTTTCCTCATCTGTTCCAATGCAGTGTTCAATATTTAACCTCTCTGGTTTTTTTTTTTCTTTTTGAGTTTTCCCCCCAACCCCAAATGTCAATCCTGTTTTATAACAGTTATATTATGCAGTATTTGTTCTTTTGTGACTGAGGTATTTCACTCAGCATAATGTCCTCCAGGGTCACCCATTTTGTATACTAGTTTATGAGTTCTTTATTTTTCAGGTATGCATAGTAGTCCATTGTGTGAATACACACACACCTTCCCTACCCATTCATTTGCTGATGAGCACTTGGGTTGCTTCCATCTCTTTGCTGTTGTGAACAACGCAGCATTAAACATCGATGTGCATGTATCTGTTTGGATGGCAGTTCTGGTTTCTTTAGGGTAGTGCAATTGCTGGGTCAAATGGTATTTCTATTTCCAACTTCTTGAGAAAGCGCCATCCTGCCTTCCAGAGTGGTTGTACCATTTTACACTCCCACCAACAGTGAAAAAGGGTTCCAATTTCTCCACAACCTTGCCAGCATTTGTTTGCTCCTCCATTGAACTTTGCAGTTGCTACTGAAGTGAGATCATCTGTTACAGTTGTTTCTTTTATCTCTCTTAGAACTGGGGATTTTGAACATTTCTTCATGTGTGTGTTTTCTCCATCTGAATGTCTTGGTGAAGTGTCTGTTCACATCCTGTGCCTATTTTGCACCTGGGTGGTTTATCTTGTTGAGGTTCTGGAATATTCTATAAAGTCTAGATTTAAGTCCCTTATCTGACATGTCATTACCAAATATTTTTTCCTAGTCTGTGGCTTTCCATTTTAACTGTTGGAGAAGGTTTTTGATGTGCATAGGAATTTGATTCTTAGAAGGTCCGTTTTTATTTTATTTTATTCTCTCCTGGTTTAAGGTTTTTCAGGATGCTTGGGAGACTGTTCATTTTATCAATTAGGGCTTGTAGTGTTCTTTCTCTGATGAAGTTTATAGTCCTTGGTTCTAGATCCACTTTGAATTGGTTTTGTGTATGGTGTGAGGTGTGGGTCTTGCTTGAGTTTTCTACAGTTAGTCTTCCAATTTGGCCAACACCATTTGTTAAAGAGACTTTCATTTCCCCACTTAGCTGATTTCATCTCCTTGTCAAAAATCAGTTGAGCTCATTTCTGGGTTCTCAATTCTATTCATTGATCTCTGTGTCTGTCTCTGTACCAGTACCACCCTGTCTTGACCACCACGGCTGTGTAGTAGGATTTGACATCAGGGAGTGAGATGCTTCCTACCTTGTTTCTCTTTTTGAGGAATGCTTTGCTTATTTGAAGTCTCTTTCCTTTCCAAATGAAATTGGAAATTGCCTTTGCCATTTTGATGAAGAACGGAATTGGTATTTGTATTGGGATTGCATTGAATTAGTAGATTGCCTATGGAAGAATTGTCATTTTCACAATATTGAGTCTTCCTATTCAAGACCATGGGCATATTCTTCCATTTCTCTAGGTCTTTTTTTATTTCTTGTAATAATCTTTTGTAATTTTCTTTGAATAGGTTCTTTGTGTTTTTAGTTAGATTTATTCCCAAGTATTTAATCTTGTGAATAATTAGCTATTGTGATGGGTATTATTTTTCTTAGCCCCTGTTCTGTATTCTCTTTATGTCTGTAGAGAAATCCAACTAATTTTGTATGTTGATATTTATCCTGCCACTTTGCTAAATTGGTCAACTATGTCCAGTAGTTTTTTCATTGAGTCTTTAGGGTTTTCTAAGTATACTATCATATCATCTGCATGTAGAGATAGTTTTACCTCCACTTTGCCAACTTGGATACCTCTTCCTTCCTTCTCTTGTCTTATTGCTATCGCTAAGACTTCCAAAACAGTATTGAACAGGAGCGGTGATAGTGGGCATCCTTGCCTAGTTCGTATTCTCAAAGGGAATGCCTTTAATCTCTCTCCATTGAGAATGATGTTGGCTCTTTGTTTTGCATATATACTTTTTATTATGTTGTGGAAATTCCCCTCTGTTACTCTTTTGCTGAATGTTTCAATGAGGAAACCATGTCTCCCCTTACTCTTATCTCCTTCTATTTTGTGTGTGTTATGTGCCTTCAAGTCAGAACTAACCCATAGTTGACCTGCCAGCAGGTTTTCAGAGACAGTAAATCACATGAGAGGTGATTGTCCTTCCTTCTTCCATAGCTAGTGGATTCGAACTGGGTGACTTTGGAATTGCAACACAGCTCCTTATTGCTAAGCTGTGAGATGTCCTTCCATAAGCAGCCATTTTCACCTCCTTTTAACTTTGTTTTTGGTTGAAGTTTGATTGGTTTGTTTTGATTAGAGACTTATCTTCATGTCTATACTATCACTTGATTATATTGTTATTACTTGGCTTTTCAAATTCAAGCAGTAGCTCGTAATTTCTTAGTATGTTGTGGATTTCCTTTGAGTCGTTTCATAGTATTGAAGATGCATTTATAGCTCTTTTTCCACTCTCATTCTTAAACAAACCTGTGTCTTTTTCATCTCGCCAGCCTCTTACCCTAGTCCTATTTATTAGGTCTGCTCAATGTTCAATGTTACATTATTAGATTTGGAGGTAATGAAATTTACAACAGAACCAATACTAGGTCTTCCTCTAGTTCATTCTGGTTTGACCTCCCTGTTGAGACTTTTCTTAGATACACTAAATCAGAATCTACATTTTAACAAGATCTCCAGGTGATTACTGTATATATTTGGTGATTTTTATCTGAATGTAGATTATGATTCATTATCTGGTGGAGAAATGGTAAAGCATCCACGACTAACAAAATGGTGAGAGTGCACACAACAGCCTCTATTGCTGCTCTTCAAGGAAGAATGAAGCAGTCTGCCTCAAGAGAGATTATAGCCTTAGAAATCTATTAAGTGGTTCCATTCTGTCTTATTGGAGTTATTATGCATCAAAATGGAGCTCATGGTTTTTTGGTTTTGAATGGAAATGCAAATTCTCAGCTGAGTGTTGAATGTTAACAAACTGATTTGAAACTCTGCTAAATATTTTCTTCACAGTGTTTTTTCTTTCCCTGTTAATCATTGCCTTCCTTTTTCATTTGTTTCAGTTTCCATGTTCTTAAAATTAATTCAGCTCCGCCCTCTTTACCAGTTGTGTACATCTTTTCTAAAGATGGTCTCATCATCAGATAATTTATCTCTCTCTACTTGTGTAACCTTTTGACCTCTTCCATTGTAAACTAGTAGCTTTGCCCTGATGCACAGCTAGCATTCTGGGATCACCCTTTCCATTACCATTTCTTATCTGAACTGCCAGCATTCATATACGTGTCTTCATTTTCTTGCGTATTTTTGTGCAGTAACATTCTCAGAGCCTCTTCATTTTTAAATTTTGACTATTTAAAGATTTCTTTATTCTAGCCTCACACTTGATAGATCTTAAGTTTGGTACAGAGATCTAGGTTTAAGATTATTTTCCCTTCAAAAATTATAAGAGATTGATCTTTTAGCATCCAGTGTTGCTGTTGTTAAGAAGTCCAGAGCTTGTCCAGATTTCTTCTTTTGTACGAGATCTTCTCCCTAACCCCCATTTGGAAGTGAAGATCTTTTTTTAACTCTACTGATAGCAATTTCGTGATAATATGCTTTGCTAAGGGTCTGCTTTCATCTGTTGTGTTGAGTGTTTTGTGGGAAATTTAAGTCTAATTTGGCAAATTTTCTTTAAATTATTCAATTTATTTCTCCTCCTGCTAAATGCTTCCGACTCAGCAGTACACAGCACACATTCAGTTGATAATTTTCTCTTTTT